AAGAGGTCTCCACTTAGGCCCTGTCACCTCTCCAGTGCTCCCTGCCTGAATTTTTCCCCTTGTTCACTCCCTCTCGAATCTGATCCTCTGTGTCTCCCCACCCCCTACATACCCCTTGATTCCAGGCTATTCATGCATGCAGGAGGTAGCGAGCAGCCCACTGCAGAACAGAACAGAGCCTCTCCCTCTGCAGGGGACTCCACGGCCAGACTTCTTCCCTGAGTTCCCCAAACCCAGTGGCCCCATCAAGTCATTCTGGTTTAGGATGCCTAGTCTTTGACTTGGTTTATTGAATTGCTCTGGGTGACTTGAGATCAACAATATGAGATGACCATCATAGCTCACTTTATAGAATCAGGGACCCACAAGCACTGCTGGCCAACCATGGGCATACTCCCCTTGTCACCCCGAACTGTAAAAGGAACCCACCTTTCCTGTCACGATGTCCCACATGCCAGAGCCCCAACCGCCCAGCTTCTTCCTGTTCAGTCATGCTATTACTACCGCCATGCTACTTGTGTGACGTTTCCTGGTCTGTCAGGACAAAGGAAAGTTCTGCTGACTTATGAGAAGCTGCCCAGGCCCTCGATGGTGGGGATCAGAGCTTAGATTTTCCTGCTACAAACTCCTGGTTCCCTTGCGCTTGTCCACTTTAATCTTTAAAATGTGAAGTGTATTACATATACACAGGAACACAAAAAGAATATAAGCATTTTTAAAATAATAAGATGAAAAGGTAGAATGGACATGTGATAAACGTATTTAACAGGAAAAAAGAAACGAAGTGATGGGGTGGGGTGAGGGTTTAGTCTGGAAAGTGCTTGCCATGCAGGAAAGCAGATCCCAGTCCAGATCCTGGCACTCATGTAAGAAGCTGGGCACAGCGGTGCGGCTGTGATTGCTGTGCTGTGGAGGCAGAGGCAGGAGGATTCCCGGGCTTGCTGGCCAGCCAGTCCAGCTAATCAGTGAGCTCAAGTCTCAGGGATAGATCCTGGTTTCAAAAATAAGGTGAGGAACAAGTGAGAAAGAAGCTATCCAATGCCTCCACATACATGTGAGCATACACAAACACACACGTGTACCACACTTGATAAACCTGAGAAAGAAGATATCCAATGTTTCCACATACATGTGGGTATACACAAACACACATGTGTACCACACTTGGTAACAACGGAGGAAGAAAATAGTCCATGCCTCCACGTACATGTGCACATACACAAACACACACGTGTACCACACTTGATAAGAATAATAGTAAAACATAAATATCCATGCACCTTGCTCAGGCTAAGACATGACGCAGTGCCTGCTCTATGCTCCCTCACGCCTGCACCTCTTTCTCCACCAAGAGACACCTTCCCTGGACTTGGGCATCAATGCCCCCTATTTTCCTTCTGCTTATTTATTCTCATCAATATATCGAGTTCTGAAAAGGTTTTTAAACTTTTTTCTTGTACTTCAATACACTTAAGTTTTTGAACAGTTCAAATTAGAGCAAAATGAAGAAAAAAGTAGGTTCTCACATACATTTTCACACACACACACACACACACACACACACACACACCTCCCCCTGCTATCAACATCCCCCACACAAAAATACTTCTGTTTGTTACAATACACGAGCATAAACCAGCAAGCCATTGCTCTCCAGTGGGTGGGTTCATCCTTCGAGTGGGGCATTCCATTTATCTACTGCTGGGGACAAATACAGCACCATGTAACAACGGTTGCAGCGCTGGGCCATGGCTGTTGCAGCACCACACCAAGAAGTCCCACTGCCCTCAACAACTTTCTGCCCTGCTGCACATACTGCGTCCTGGCACCCACTGACCTTCTCATTCCCGCCACGGTTTTCTTCTTCCAGAACATTCTACAGTTGGAACCAGATAGAATATAACCTTTTCAGACTGACTTCTTTTTACTAACTGATACATGTTTAAAGCCCCTTAAGGTCGTTTTGGCTTGAGAGCTTATGGCTTCATAGCGCTGAAGGACAACTCTGATCCGGGCGTACCTCTGCTTTTGTATCCATTCGCCTATTGAAGGCTATCTGGGTTGCTTCCAAGCTTTGGCAGTTAGGAAGAAGGCTGCTCTAAATAGCCGCATGCTCCTTTTTATGTGGATGTAAGCTTCCACTTCTTGGAGTGCTCTCAAGGGTACCACTGCTGGATCACATGATGAGAGTATGTTTCATTTCGTAGGAAGCCGCCAAACTGTCTTCCAAAGCAGCCATAATGTTTTGTGGTCCCACCAGCAGTGAAGAAGTTCAAGCATATTTCCTATGTTTCACTGGAGCTTTATTATTTTGCCCTTTACATTTTGGTCTATACTCCATTTCCAATTAATTTTTCTCTGGCAAGAGTTACGGTTGAGGTTCATTTCCCCCCCATATAGTTATCCAGTTCCTGAAACCTTAAAAAGTAAGGAATACTAAAAAGAAAGAAGAAAGGCTGGGGGTGGGGTCAGGAAAAAGGAAAACTTTTTTTGTCTCCACTGGATAGGCTTGTCTCCTTCAAATTTGTAATTGATTCTTCTGGATCTTTATATTGATTCCCTGATCTGACAGAACTCTATTGTTGGGAGCCCCTAAGTTTTAGGCTTGGTTTTCTCCTTCCACAGTTTTAGGAATTGAACTCAGGTCTTCAGGCTCTCACACAAAGCACTTTTGTATGATGAGCTTTTAAAACCATGGCTTTGTAGCTTACCTTGAATGATAAGCAGGGTAGACCAGATGGTCTTTGGGACAGTCACAACTTAACCATAAGTCAAGGTCTATGAGTTCTCATCCCTTACTGATGTCCTCTCGTTGTTTTCAGTGTGTGTGTGTGTGTGTGTGTGTGTGTGTTTTCACACATATGAATGCAGACAGGCATGTGCACACATGCAGAAATCAGAGAACAGCCTCCACTGTTAGTCCTTGCTTCTGCTTTGTTTGGGACAGGATCTCTGTTATTCTTTTGATGCATTCTCTGAGCTAGCTAGCCCTGGAACTTCAGGAGGTTAGCTAGCATTTGGTCCACATCTTCTCAACAATGCCCTGGGATCATAGCCTCTCTCACATGTCTAGCTTTCACAGGAGTTCTGGGGATTCAAACTCTGGTCCCCATGCTTGCACGGTACCTGCTTCCCCCCCCCCCCCCCCCCCCCCCCCCGCAATGAGCTATCTCCCCAGTGGCTTACTGTATAGGCTCTAGTCTGATCTTCATGCCTGCATGGTACCTGCTTTTCCCCACTGAGATATCATCCCAGTGGCGTACTGTAAATATTGCCCTAGGCTCTAGCCTATATGGCCCACAGGCTTCCAAGGAGACCTGTCTCTGCCTCCAATCTCACTATAGCAGTGCTGGTTTCACAGATGTGTGCCATTGCATCTGGCCTTTCTACGTGGTTCATGGTCTAATTCAGGTCATCAGGGTTGCGCAGCAATCACATTAACCTGCTGAGGCACCTTGCTAGCCTCAATATTGAAATTCTTAAATTGGTTGGAGTTCTGTTCTGTTTTTTTGTTTTGTTTTGTTTTGTTTTGTTTTGTTTTGTTTTGAGGCATGGCTTACACTTTAGCTCAGGCTGGTCTGCAATCCATTATGTAGCCCAAGCTGTCATCAGACTTGTGAGGATTCTTCTGCTTCAGTCTCCTGAGTGCTGGGAATACAGTCCAAGCCAAGAAACAAGCCAAGTTTCTGCTCTAAGAGGGAATCTGGGTGTTTGCCAGCTCCCAAGTGGACTTACTGCAGCTCCTTCTTTCTTAAAAAGTTTTCACGTCTTCTTTGAGGGTGAGAAAAATCCAGGGCCTCAAGATAAGAGTGGATTTTCTTTTGTATCTGCTCCTAAGATGGACAGACAAGCAAACGTCCCTTCTAGGAGTGGCTAGGAAGCTGTGTGGTAGAGATGGGGCTCAGGTGAGATTCCCCTCCCAGGAGCCGAATGACTGTCCTGAAAATGTGGTGCGGGATGGAGACACTTTCTTCCACCTGGAAATGCAGAGGCATTCGAGCAAGGGCTCTTCCTGAGTGTAGCTGCCCCTTGCCATATTCCCATGGAATAGCTAGGAGCAGGAAAATGCAACTGGCTGTTTACTGGATGAATGAAAATGACAACATGACCCCTCCAAAGTATGCCTGAGGAAAAGATTTTCTTGGAGATATGAGGAAAAGAATAGCCAGGGGCATCTGGAAGGATCCAGACTGAATGTGGCCAGCAGACTAGACCAGGCAATGAGAGGAGAGACTGGAAAAGCAAGAGAGAATGAGAAGAGAGTGGGGCAAGAGAGGGGACCGAGGACCAGGAGGACAAAGAAGACAAAACCAGGAACCAAGAGAACTCGTGGACAAAACAGCTGGGTATTAAAAGGAATCAGAAGCAGAGGGAAGGGAAGGGAAGGGAAGGGAAGGGAAGGGAAGGGAAGGGAAGGGAAGGGAAGGGAAGGGAAGGGAAGGCTTCCTCACAATTCCAGCAGGATCTTTCCCGAAAATGGGTGTGTTCCTTATAGATCTTTATTTCTCTCTCTGAGGCCATACAATGTGTGCGGAAACTACTCAGTCATCACGCACTGGGGGTTCGTTTCCGTTTTATTGTAAGTCACGTTTTATTACAAAGTCACCTTGTATGGTTCCGAACCCTTGTTCATCACAGGAAAGGGGGTTACCACAGGAGCCCCCAAATACTGTTGTAGAATTCACCTCTACCTCTTCTGAAGTATAGTGCTTTGAGCTATTTGAGAGCTGAAATTAACATATCAGGTTTACCTTCCACGGTCAAACGCAGAAAAAGAAGTTTGAAGGTACATCAATAAACCACGTTTCACTGTAAGCAAGAAAAGGTTCTGCAGTGAAAGAAAACCAAAATAAATCTAGGAAAAATACTTTGTTAACTGGACACATAAAAAAAATTTTAGTGTGACCTTTCACCAAAGAAAGAACAATAAACCAACAGCTATGCCCTAAGGTGAGTAGAGACATTATACATACGAGATCACGTCACAGATAGAACGCACATGGTGGTGTGCTCAGAAAAACAAATACTAATTTGAGATTTGTTTTTCTGTTTCTCCTACAATCCTTTAACAAGACATTTTGATGGGAACAGAATTCGGAAGAGTTTCTGTCGGTCTGCTTGTTTTTGCTTAGCCTAAAGAGTTTAAAACACACCATTTTTACATTGAAAACGGAAACTCTCAGACCAGTCAGTGTGACAGGACTCTTGCTATGGAGGGTGCCTGGTGGCATGCTGGCTGCTTCATTGTTCAACAGTCAGATTGTGGCTTCCTCTTTATACTCTTCCAAGAATTCCTTCAGAGTAAGAATCTTCCATGTCTGCCACCCTGGAAGTGGCTTCCAGAGTGGTATGGCTCAGTGAGCAACCTCACTTGGGTCCCACTCTCCTCAGAGGCTTCAAAGGAACCGTCACAGCCCATGGCATTTCTTCAGGCTGGAGGAAAAGCTCAGGGCAGGCAGCACAGGGCAGTTTCCCAGTAACACTCCCTTCCCTTGGCCCCAGGACCCTGCCAGGAGGGCTCTGGGGTCATCTAAGTACTCCTGGGGGCAACACAATTATCAGTCCAAATGGAAACAGACTTCTGGCATTTTTATCTCTGCGTACCTTATTCGCTAGGAGCCATTTTTAAATGACTCTTCACACCAGCTTCAGCTAGGGTTATTTCTTTTGTCAAAGCTGGGATCATAGTGCACTAAGGGCCACCGACACCTGCAGGAGACACAGGTACCCCACTTCTATGGTCTCTTTTGCTCCTTACTCCAGCCCTGTGAGGTAGTAGAGCAGATCCAGCAGAGGCCCTGTGGAGAGAAGAGGCCCTGGGGAGGGAAGCACCTAGGCCCCACGGTGGCCCGTGAGCCCCGGAAGCCTGTCCTCTCCTGTGGTTCTGCAACTGCCCTCTTGCCACGTCAGACACACTTTTGGAAGACGAGGTGCTATGTGGCCAAACACCTGGAGAAAGTGGGTTTCCTGGGCAATTGTCAAACCACCCTGAACAAGGGTGAGGTGAGGTGAGAAAGTTCAGACAAAGCGAGTTCTTGAGAGTCAACCCTGCCTCCGATTCTGTAAGGAGGAAATACCTGCCTGGAGAAATCTCGGCACTCCATGGCCAACCTGAGCCCAGCTGCTCTGAAACCCACGGGAATTCCACTTTTGAACATTTTATCACAAGGCAGGATGACTGAGTTGGAGGCCAGCTTGGGCAACATAAGAAATTCATCTAAAATAAAACAAAATAAAGTAAAATAAAATAAGAAGGGAAAACGGGCCACTGTGTGTTCACAGCAGTGGGCTGGAGAGCAGACTTCCAACGTCCTGGCGGCATACTGTGCCATGGAGTTCCAGAGCTTCAAGTTAACGGGTGTGCTGACCATTGGGAATGAGATGGCTGTTGGTCCCAAGGCCATTCTTCAGATACTCTGTCCCTTTGCTGTTGGTGTCCTCCTCATTTTCCTCTTCCTCTTCCTCCTCCTCCTCTTCTTCTTCATTATCACTTCTCACATCCTGAATGCTCTAGGAAAGAAAAGAATGGGCCGTGAGTGACAGCCTTCTGGAAGACTTCATAAATGACGCATACAGGTCTAGGTTCGAAAACTGCTTCCATCAAAGAGCCCTGCTACCCACAGGACCAGCCTTCACAGAGGCACGCCAGAGCGCAAGTCAGAAACAGACATTAAAGAATGAAAAACGTGGGGCTGGAGAGCAGGCCCAGCAGTTTAGAACACTGTGACTCTTGCAGAGGACCAGAGTTCCATTCCCAGCACCTACACGGTGGCTCACAGTCATCTGTAACTCACTTCCAGGGAATCTGACGCCCTCTGCTGGCCTCCATGGGCACCTGACACACACACACACACACACACACACACGGTACACATATGTATGAACCTACATGAAGGCAGAACATTTGTAACAAAATAAATCTAAAAATGTTTTAAAAATTTGATCATGGCGACCTGAGTTTGATGCCCAGGTCCCACATGGTAAAAGGAGAGAACTGACTCCATGTTTTCCTGGCTCACAATGCCCACCACGGTACACACCCACGCATCAGTGTAATTGTAAAGCATCATTTTGTTAGCTTTAGAAAGAATGAATTTTTTCTTTAGCAAGCAATCATTAAACAAAAGCCTCATCCTGGCTATGGTCTCTTTCCCTTTGAGTTATTGGTCAGGGGGTCCCAGATCTGAAAAGTACAAACTATCGCCATTGTACTTAGTTGTCCATGGAATTTGTGGGTAAGACCCCATTGTTGAAGACAATATACACTACGGTCACAGGACTGTCAAAACTCTGTCTGGTTCAGATCTGGAAGCTTCCTCGTGGAAGGCCAGCTTTCATAGTGTTGCAAGATGCTAGGCAGGTTACCAAGAGAGAAAGACAGCAACAGGTTTGCCTGAAATACAAGAACAGTTTATCTGGCAAGATGCCAGGTGCTCATCAGCGCACTAGTGACCTGAGTGTCTTGTCGGGGGAGGAGGACAACAACTATCTGATTGGATTTAAAGGTGCTTAACAGGAAGAAACTCAAGCTTGCTACTGCAAACTTGGCAAAGGATGCCTGGCTAAGGGGAGAACCCACTGCTATCATCTTGCCAAGTTGATAGAGTAGCCAACTGCCTTCTAAATATTTATTCTTAAACCCAAAGATTAGCCCAGCTCACACACCTTACCAGACAGGCTTCTTTTTGCAGTGGATGGAGGTTAACTCAGAAACCCACAAATGACTAAAGCACAGGGGTTAAGTGACTGTGAAAAGCTCACACGCACACAGGACACTATATCACATGTCCTCTCTCCAGGGCTCAGGGTCTATCTTAGAACTGACTGTGGAATGCTCACAGGCAAATAGAACATCTATATCACAGGTCCTCTCTCCAGGGCTCAGGGACTGTCATAGAAGAGGGTATAGAAAGACTATCAGAGCCTCTGGCGAGAGACAAGGGTCTTCTGGACCTGACGGGCATTGCACTCACGAGCTCTAAGTAGCTGTGGCTGCTTACATAAGACCTGCACATGATCTGCCGAGACAATATTGCAGCATGGATGGGCGGTGGGGCTCACAAGGATCTACACTTAGTTGAGAAGCAGTAGGTGGCTGCCAAGGAAGAAAAAGTCAGTTTTCCTCAGGGGCAAGGTCCTTAATAATTTACCCATGCTACAGTGGACAGCTACACCCATGTGTATACAGGCAATACTAATCGACTCAGTGAGTTTGGATGGATGGGTAGATAAGAATAGGTGGAGGGGAGGAAGAGAGAAGGAGCAGGGAGAGAGAGAGAGGGGACACTAGGAGGAAGAGAAAGGGCAAAAAGCTAAAAGGAGTTGAAAGGGCGAATGATGGGTAGACTTGATTAAAATATATTAACATTTGAAGAAAAATGAAGATAAAGATAAAAGAAAACAATGTTTTTTTTCTAAGTAAAGCTTTAGTCACTGGGCGTTTAGTTGCCATGAAGGCACAAGTATCTGTCAGACGTGTTTTGTCACGTGCACAATGTACGAAGTTGGTGGAAATGTCTTTCATTGCTATGCTTTTATGATGGAGGTGGCATTGTGCTATTGTTTGAAATTATGTTTCGCGGTGGATTACAACACCTAGGCTAGTAAAGGCTTGTGAGTCTGGTAGAATTGAGAATCACTGACTCTGTAAGTCAGAGGCCAGACAGGAGCCCTGTGGATTTCCTGCCGATAGGACGCTGCGAGATTAATATGCAGTAATAAGGTGTTTGTGTGCAATACAAGATCGAATAATAAAGACTGAAAAGTCTGCTGTTCAAATATTAATGATTTTACATGTGACATCTTTAGTATAACTAGCAGGGCTGACTTTCAAAGGAGCAGACTGGACTGAGCAGTCCGTAAAATTCCCCATCACAATCATTGTACATCACAATCATTGTGCATAAGAACCATAACCTTGATTTAACAGGCAGGATTAATGTTGGTGAGTGTAGGGGAGAGCTGGGGCAAGGAAGTGACTTTAACAAAGCCACCACACAGCTTCCAGCCAGACAGGGCACAGACGTAATACTCTACAGTCCCCTGCTGGACAAGTCGGGTGGTGTAAGTACTGGGAGAGAAAGTGGACCCAGGAGGCCCATGCCCCAGCTCTGAGGGAGTCAGCCTTTCCTCCCTGCCTGGGCACTGGCTGTCTCCTCACCCCTCCTCACACCCATTCTGACCTTGCCCTTGGTACCATTAGGGTTGGCTTTTAGGCAAAAAATTAAAAATAGTGAAAAAGTTCCCTAATAAATGATTTTTATTAGGCTAGACAACCACTGACATGTTCATTATATTTCAATGAAAATGATTGTTCATCCGAGTATAGTGGAGCATGCCTTTAATTCTAGCACTCAGGAGGCAGAGGCAGGTGGATCTCCATGAGTTCAAGGCCAGCCTAATCTACAGTGCAAGTTCTAGGACAGCCAAGGTAATGAGACACTGTCTCAAGCAAACAAACAAACCACTGAAGAGAGGCATTCAAGGTTTCAGAGATGGCTCAGTGGTTAAAGCACTTGCCGAGTAACCCTCATGATCTTAGTTTGGATGCTCCAAAGCCTGCTTAAAGCCAGCAACAGAAGCTAACTAGCCTGCTACCTCCATGTTCCTATGGCAAGATGGGAGTCCCTAGAATCTTGTGGGCCAGCCAGCCTGGCTTATGCGGCGGTAGGTAATTAGGAAAAACCTTGTCTCAAACAAGGTGGAAGGTGAGGGTGGACACCTGAGGTTGTTCTCTGACTTCCACATATATGCTGTGGTGCGCATGCTTACACACACACACACACACACACACACACAGACATACGCAACACAACATACACTAGCACATATACATGCATGCACACACACATACACAACACAACATACACTAGCACATATACACACATGCACATACAAACACACAAATGTTCAAGATTTAGGGGTAGATTTTGTAGCTTATTAATGATTTACAAGGCGCCATCTGCTAAGACACTGGCTTAGGTTTGCTAGAGAAATAGAACTCTTCTAATGAGCGGGAGTTAGAAAAGCTAAGATAAGGCCCACAGGCTATATTCTAGGAACTAAGTCACAACTGCGAAGCCTTCAGGCAACTAAAATACCTAATAGAAACACAAATCCGACAGGAGTGTACCCGTATTAAAGATCAGTGTTCTAGACACTATCTGTGTGCTTTGAGAGTCAATGCTTGCCATGCATCCTTGGAACCAGCCAGCTCCATTGGTTTCACCATGCTTCTCACTTGTTGCATTCCAACTCACATGCCGGTTTCTATGTTTGGCTACTAGAACTTGTCTCATGCACATTGGTGGCCTGGGACCATCTACAAATCACTAAATGCCCAAGAAAGGGTAGAATATACAGAAGAGTGGAGGGTGGATCTGTGCGTTGGCAGCCACGTGGCTGTGGGGACTGTACGGAGCCTATGCTTACCAAGGCCTATGGGCACATGCTCCTCATCTGCCACCTCCACCCCAAGGCCTTGGCAATCCCCACTAAAGACTATTGCTATTCTGTTGATATTCTGACCATTGGAGATCACTTGCTCCTAGAATTAGCGAAAATCATTCTAGCATTAAGTTGGCCTTTCTCCAAAAATGGTCTGTGTTCTTTATACTAAACCATTATCCTCATTCCACAATTTTAAGATGGATGAAAATCAGTTCTGCCAGGTCTTTTAACAAGTTCCCTGCCAACAAGCCCTCTGTCCTCAGAAAAAGCCCAGGAGAAGTGTGCGGTGAGGAAGGAGCCGCTGGCTTCGTCAACTGAGCTCTGCGGTCCTCACATCACTAACCAGGACCAGTTTCTGGAAGATGTATTAACTGGGCAAGCCATGTGTGGGCAGAGGGGGCTTGCAAAAAAAAAGACAGACCGGACGAACATGAAATAATAGTCATTATGAAGAAAACCCAAGGACAAGGTGGGAGCATCCCATACGGTAGCAGAAAGAGAAAAGTCTAAATTTGACCCTCTTGCTTAAGTTCTGTCCAAAACAACATTGTTCCTTACAGAAGCGGGGGCATAAAGATGAATGCACTCAAAGACTAGCTCATTCTGAGACCTGAGAGTCAAGTTCCAGTCTTGGGCATGTGAATGTCCAATTTCCCCACAACAATTCATTGAAGAGACTACCCTTTCCCTATTGAGTGGTCCCCAGGACTCGCCAGCAGAGTCATGGGCCCAGAGTGTGGGGGGGTTCTGTGCCCTCTGACACCACTGAGGTGCACATGTCTGCCTTCCCAGGTGTATGTCTGGGGTAAGTCTGGAAATGTGGAAGAAACATCTCCAGTTTTGCTCTTTTCAAGGTATATAGCTGCAGCATTTGGACAGACGTGGCCTCAAGAATGACCTGCAGAATTATCTGCAGAAGGGGAAAAAAAATACCCAGGCAGCTTTTTTGTGCTGGTCCTTGTAAAGAAGATGCTTTCTCTTCAGGTTCAGGGGCAGAGACAAAAGTTTCTTTTATACAGCTCCAACTCACTGATATAAAGTAGGAGGCTTTTATTTTCCTA